TCGTGTGTTGAATCATCTATCGTCTCCGTCACTCAGACAGCATATATAATTTTATATACTCATCATACTCTGATCGAGGAGCTAGCTAGACTGAAATGAACACGCACATATATATTTGTCGGCGTTGTTTACTTGTGAAAGAATCTGATGCTCTGGATAAACTTGAATCATATCTGTTAGCAACTAGGAATAACAAACCATAACTGGAGGAGCTATAGCTCATGATCAGCTCCCAGCTGATTGAGGTATATATATGTTGATGTTACTACTAGTACATTCCATTCCATGCAAGATCCTCCTTTTGTGATTGTAGGTGGGTAGGTGGTAGTGTCAAGCACCGCATGCACTAAGACCTATAAGATCTTAGCAAATATATATGATGGACGAATCAATCGGCTGTGTAATCTTGATCATCCTCCACTCTGAACCAGCAATCATCATGCATGCAGGATTGGAATGAATAACCCCTTTATATATGTAGAGTAAATTATTAGCACACCAATTAAGCTACGGCAGCTACAATCGAGATTTCATTGGGTGTATTCATTCATTAAGTTGACCCCAAACCTAATCTTTATCGATCACTACGTACGTCTCTTTAAATTTGGTGTGCATGTGTGTGTGTGGTGCCATCCACGTCAGAAAAACACCATACGTACAGGTTTCCGCGCGCAGGTGGCTGCATGTACTGCACGCAACACACACTGGATGCCTGCCTAGCTGTTCGTGTCAATCCATAAAACTAGCCATACATATATATAGATAGATAGATAGATAGATAGATAGAGAGAGAGAGAGAGAGAGAGAGAGAGAGAGAGAGAGAGAGACATAGGCACTGTTTGGGGAGGAGAAGCTCCCCAAATAGGATTGCTTCTTTAAGCTGGCAAAAGCTCTAAAAGATATACTTTATACTAGAAGTAGAAAAGCTAGCTCCTTCAAGATGTCCGCAACAGTTTCCTCAAGTCGCTAACTATCGTACATGTGAGAGAAGAAATAAAAATAAAAAGGAATACAAACCGATGCAAAGAAACAAAACAGTGGAGTGTGGAGTTGTCCCATCCCATGTGTACCATATATACACTACCATTCATGTAGCTGTAATCCATTCCATCCATCTCTCGCATGCAGAAATTAAGCAGAAGATGGTAGTAGCATGTGTGTGTGTGTGTGTCTGGTTGCCTTGCAGATAGAACCGAACCGAACCGAACCGTTGTTGGCCGTTACGATCCATGTCCATGGCGTGGCAGCATGCACCATAAGTATCGTGTAACCCCCAACAAACTCCATCTGCTCACGCACAGAAAACACACATTTGCTTCGCTTCGTCATCGATCCTCACTCCTCGCTCCTCAGGCCGCCGGCCAGCCATGACGACACCACCGCCACCAGCAGCAACACCGAAGCAGCAGCAGCATAGCCTCGCTGCTGTTGCGGCCGAGGTGCGCGCCCAGCGCGGCATCGCGCTCCCGCTCGTCGGCATGAACCTCACCTGGTTCGCCAAGCAGGCCGTCACCACGGCCTTCCTGGGCCGCCTCGGCGACCTCCAGCTGGCCGCCGGCACGCTCGGCTACAGCTTCGCCAACGTCACCGGCTTCGCCGTCCTCAGCGGCCTATGCGGCGCCATGGAGCCCATCTGCGGCCAGGCGCACGGCGCCGGCAACGTCGCCCTATTGCGCGGGACGCTGCTCAGGGCCACGCTCATGCTCCTCGCCGCCTCCGTACCCATCGCGCTCCTCTGGACGCGCGTCGACGCCGTCCTGCTGCTGTTCGGCCAGCAGCCCGACATCGCGGACACGGCCAGGACCTATGTGCTCTGCCTCCTCCCGGACCTCGCCGTCACCTCCGTGCTCAACCCGCTCAAGGCCTACCTCAGCGCGCAGGAGGTGACGCTGCCCACGCTGTTCGCCGCCGCGCTGGCGCTGGCGCTCCACATCCCGCTCACCGTGTCGCTCTCCGCCAGGATGGGCGTCCGGGGCGTGGCCGCGGCCGTCTGGCTCAGCGACCTCGCCCTGGCGCTCATGCTCGCCGCCTACGTGCTCGCCCACGAGCTCCGCCGGCCAACCAAGCCGCAGCAGACGAAGCCAGCAACGGCGGGCGACTGGCTGCTGCTCCTCCGTCTGGCCGTCCCCTGCTGCCTCAACACCTGCCTCGAGTGGTGGTCCTACGAGATCCTGGTGCTCCTCACGGGGCGCCTCCCCGACGCGCGCCGCATGGTGGGCGTGGTCGCCGTCACGCTCAACTTCGACTACCTGCTGTTCGCGGCCATGCTGTCGCTGTCCGTCAGCGCGTCGGTGCGCGTCTCCAACGAGCTGGGCGCCGGGGACGCCGCCCTGGCGCGCCGCGCCGCAAGGGTGTCCATCGCGGGCGGCTTGGCGGCGGGCGTTGCCGGCGGCCTGCTCATGCTGGCGGCGCGCCGGCCGTGGGCGCGCATATACACCCGCAGCCCGGAGGTGCGGGACGGCGTGGGGCGGGCCATGAAGGTGATGGCGCTGCTGGAGGTGGTCAACTTCCCGCTCAACGTCTGCGGCGGCATCGTGCGGGGCACGGCGCGCCCGCTGCTGGGCATGTACGCCGTCGTGGGCGGCTTCTACGTGGTGGCGCTGCCGGTGGGCGTGGCGCTCGGCTTCAAGGCCCGCCTGGGGCTGGAAGGACTCCTGGCCGGCTTCCTGGTGGGCGCCGCCGTCAGCCTGGCGGTGCTAGTGACGGTCATCGTGTGCATGGACTGGGCGGCCGAGGCAGACAAGGCGCAGACACGGGCAGGGGCTGCCGGTGCTGGCAACACCGCTCGTGTTGAGCCGCCGCCGAACACGGCGCCGGCGCCGGCGGAGTCGGAGGCTTGCTAGTATAGGTAGCTCATCGATCGCCACCGCTTTATATATATAGAACATCCTGTGCTGGCTGTCAGCATTGGTGTAAACATATATACTGAATTGTGCAGTCGAAGCAACAAAAACAAAATTAAAGCCTTTGATTTTAGGGATTAACGGCAGGTAACAAACCAGTGCTGACAGCAGCCCCTTGCGTAGTAGGACGCTGAGCATTCCTAAGATGGCTGCCTTCCTAACTGCTTATATCTGAAAATGTACCTGATTTCCATGGTGACAACCAGAATCATGTACTGCAGTGTACTCCGTAGGGAAATAGTAATGAACAGCTGCACCCGCCCAATCTTGGTCCCTGGGGACCATGGGAAAATGATCTGCCAGATGCAGCCCCTGCTGCACTTGTAGACCTGAATGTAGCACCAGACAATTTACCGTACATGTGGTAGAAGATGAGGAGCAGATGCTCACCTGTGCCAAATCTAGCAAGTTCATGATCATGGACACATCAGCCTTGCTGCCTCAGACGCCCATGGCTCTGCAGAATCAGTTGGTTTTAGCCCCTGAAGATGGAGACCTGGCCGATCCCCCCCCATCCCGACCCGACAGGCTGGTAATCTACAAATTGGAGCAGCAAGACTATTCCCATTCCCAAACTACATCAATCTCAGATCCAGTTTTTGGTAGTCATGGTGGACCTGAGGCAGCAAAGGGAGCATCAGACATCACTATTAGACTCTGGAACACACTTTTTGGCCAACAAAAACGGTTGTCAATGTCCCTCTACAAATGCAATGGGCCGGCCGATTTCATCACTCCCGAGTCCCGACACAGCTTCCACAGGTGGATTTCCTTTTCCATCTTGCTCCATGAGTCAGATCCCTTTTCAAATAAAAAAGAATGCTGCTGGACCTGGACCTGCAATGCAAATGCAACACCTGATGCAGTTAAAAAAAACACCTGGTGCAGAAATTTCCAGCCACATCATCTTCTGCCGACTCCGCTCCTATCAGTAGGAGGAAAAGACAACGTGGTGGTAGACACTGATGTGAGGAGGAGTTTGAGAATAATTTAAAAAAAAAATCAAAGTGAAGCATTCAAAAATGATACCTGAAAGGAGAGGAACTCTATGGCCTGCTCTGCTGGTAGCCCTCCTACACTTAACACTTTCACCTTGGGTCATCAGAAACTTGGGCACAAACTTGTGTGGCATGGATGCTAATGGTTTCAGCAATGAAACCCTGACTACCAAGGAGAAACATAACAGAGTTATTGCAAAAAAAAAAAGGCTGATAATCTAGTGATGTCCATGATGACGGAGGCCGGATGTTGTGCCCATTGTCCAGCAAAATTTGGAATTCCAAAATTTGAGCACTAGAAATCTGTGCTAGGACTAGGAGCTCTCGGTCCACCAAGGCACCCATTATTGTTTGTTGTGCTCAATAACAATAATAATAACGCCGCAATTTCTTGTAATGAATAATAATCAGTATAGATCATCAGTACCTATGACCTGTATGTGATGGGATTACCCATGAATCAAATGGTAAACAGACAAGATGTTGTAGAATGGCGACTCTCCCTTGTGGAACCGGCCTGGTAAGCCTATAACAAACATATGGGCCGGCACAACACAGTACCCACCCACCATTTGATTTGGCCCATATTCCACGATGCGAGCGATTCCATCCATTCGTCCTCCTCCTCCTTCCTTGGTCTCCTCCCTCCTCTCCAGGTCCAGGCAAGGCAAGCTCGGGCAGAACCAGATGGTCACGCACCTGGTGTCCTGCTGCCTCCCGGCACCGGCAGCGGGGGCGGTGACGGTGACGGTGGCCAAGCCCAAGCCCAAGCCGGCCGCCTCCTCCTCCTCTTCATCCGCGCCGCCGGACACCAAGAGCAGGGGCCAGGGCCACACAAGAGTCGGCCGAAGGTACTGTACTGGACAATCCATTTCCAAATCTACGCCCTCGCATCGCATTGGTAACCTAGGGAGCCCCGGCTCTTCCTGGCCACGTCAGCAATAGAAATTTTATTTTGGCCATCCGATGCGAAATTAACAGCCCTGCTTCACCCCACCGACCGTTTCTCCACCAAAGAAAACAAACCCTCTCTATCTCCCCTCCAGCCGGCCGACGGCGCTCCGTCGCCCCCGTCGCCGCGACCACCCGCGAGGAAACCATGGGGAGAGGCATCCTTAACGCCGGGCCCTCCTCCTGGATCGCCGCCGTGGCCACTGCCGCACCAGCAAGCTTCCTCGGCGCCCACGCCGTCCTCCTCACCTCCGGCCACCTCTCCTCCCGCGCCTCCGCCAACTCCCTCCTCCGCGCCGCCCCCTCCCCCTCCGCCTGCGCGCTCATCCTCCGCCTCCTGCTGCTCCACTGCCTCCGACCCGACCACATCTCCCTCTCCTTCTCCCTCCACTCCTGCGCCCGCGCCGTCGTCCCCACCACCACCACCCGCAACCCGCTCACCGCCCTCTTCCACTCGCTCGCCCTCAGGCTCGGCCACGCCCGCGACGTCTACGTCGCCAACGCCGCCGTCTCCTCCTACTTCGCCGCCTCCGACGTCGCCTCCGCCGACCGCCTCTTCGCGGAGGTCTCCGACGACGTCGCCGACGTAGTCACCTGGACCACCATGGTCACCGGCCACGCAAACGCCAGCAATCTGGAGCAGGCGAGGCGCTTCTTCGACGCGATGCCCGAGCGGAACGTCGTTTCCTGGAACGCGATGCTGGGCGCGTACGCCAGCGCAGGGATGCTGTCCGAGGCGCGGGAACTGTTCGACGCGATGCCTGAAAGGAATGCCGCCACGTGGAGCTCTATGCTCACTGGGCTCGTGCTGTCGGGACGCTGCGGGGAGGTGCTGAGGGTGTTCGCTGACATGGTCCGTGGCGGCGCCGTGCCCAACGAGCCCGCGCTGGTTAGTGTGGTCTCGGCGTGCGCGCAGCTGCGGTCACTGGAGCACGGCGCGTGGGTGCACGCGTACGCCGAGCAGGAGCTGCAGGGGGCCATGAGCGTCATCCTCGCCTCCGCCATCATCGACATGTACGGGAAATGTGGGGATATCCGCAGTGCCGTCAGGGTGTTCGCTGCGATGCCCTTGAGGAACGTCTACTCCTGGAACGCCATGATCGCTGGGCTCGCGATGAATGGCGGAGAGAGACAAGCCTTGTCGCTCTTGTGGAAGATGCAGATGGCTGGTATTCAACCAAATGACATAACTTTCATCGGGTTGCTGAGCGCTTGCTCCCACTCTGGCCTTGTGAATGAGGGCCGACGGTTGTTTGACAGTATGATCGAGGACTTCGGGATACAACCAGTCCAACAACATTACGGTCTTATGGTTGATTTGATCGGCCGCTCTGGTGGTGTCAGGGAGGCGATGTTTTTCATCAAGAGCATGCCTGTGGAACCTCACCCTGGCTTATGGGGCGCACTAGCTAGCGCCTGCAAGATGCATGGTGAGGTGGAGCTTGGTGAGGAGGTTGCCAAGAAGCTCATTGAACTGGAGCCTCGCCATGGCAGCCGATACATCCTCCTGTCAAACTTGTATGGCTCTGCGAATAGATGGGATGACATGGCCTTTGTGCGCAAGATCCTCAAAAGGCGCAAGGTGCCCAAGGGCACTGGCAATGCAGTGGTTGGAATGACATACAATATGTCCAATGATTGACTGCACTCTCGATAAGGATGTATAAAAATTTGGGGCTACTTTACACTGATAAGGGCATTATGATTTTTGCACCGGTTGGACCGGATACCTCGGAGCAACATGAGATCGAGGAGCCTAGATGATGATAGGGCTGAAATAGAAATGTTTGTTTGATATGTCATCCTATGCCTAATTGTTTGAACAGCACTCAGTAATTGCGCATACAGGGAGTGGAAGTGCACAGAACTAGCAAGAAGTGCAGACTGGTGCTTGAATACTGACCAAAGGGAGCTGGAACTCAAGACCTATGAGTGTTGTGTAGTATGATCAGTTCAGAGTTAGGCGATTCAGTTAATGCAAGGATGTTTCAAAATAGTTACTTGACCTCTTTTTTATTGCATATTGAGATCTAGGATGAGATCGATCCAATGGTAATTTTGTCAGAAGTACCGTTGTATGCTTAATTTCATCAACCTTTGCTATCTTGTACCATTACATGTATTTATCAGAACTGTGACCTCGTTCTAGTTTATAATATGGTGACTGACCTGACTGTTTGCCTCTTTCTTGCTTGGTTCCTCCAAACAAGAGACTTCGTGCTCAGGAGCAGTGAGCTCGCCACGCTCGCTGCCATCTTCCACTTCAGGTACCCTGCTCGTTTCTTTTCCTTCAGTCATGTCATGACCCGTGTTGTCACTTCAACTGTTATGTTTCTATTCTATTCTATTCTACCTGTGGTGTGTGTGGTGACCACCCTGCCTACCGATGCATATTAAATTACTCTGCTAATTTTGATTCCATTCCATTGCATTCCTGAAACCCTAGTCACACCTCGATCCAGTTAAACTGTTTTGACCCTCTTTTAGAAACAGACTCCACACCCACCATGGTTCACTTCATTTCATGGTAGAGTCAGGAGGAGCATAAATTTGGAACCCACAACACAAGTCAATGCAATGAACTAGTTCTATGATTTTGGGACTTGGCCACTGTTGTATGCATCTTCGTCTCACCTGCCATCATGTCTTCATCTCACCTAGAGGAATCAGGAATTCAATGCAAATGCAGATGATGAATATTTGTTGTTTTCCTCTACTCTTCTCTTCTCTGACAAGTGCTTATGTTTCCCTTCACCCCTCTTGGCTCCAGTGGCACCAAACCAAGCTACCTTGGCGTTCAGAAGAGTCCTCCATCCCTTGCTCTGTGCCCTGCAACCAATAACTGTGTTTCGACATCAGAGGAAATAAGTGATTCGAATCACTATGCTCCCCCATGGTAAGCCCATTACTGTCGTGAGTTCCCTTCTCTGCTTCTTTACTTTACTCTCTGTTATATACTGCATGCACTAAAAGCTGGCATCGAAAACAGGAGTATGCTACAACTCACTCCATGTATCTGATCTCCAATCACAACAACTCGCACCTTGTTCCTGCTAGTGTAGCAAGGAAACAGCTATCATGACTTCATGAGCCCTTTGGGCTGTTTTCTTTTCCAAAAAAAGGAAGGCTTAGTTCCAGATGTTCCTTTGAATTTTTGTGGCACCTAATGCGTTTACATTGGTCAGCTAGTGTTCCTTGCCTCCTTGAAAAAAAGGAGAAATGAAGCATGGGTGTCGTAACAACCGTCAGAGGTGCAGTCATATTGTGTTGCAGAGTATCTTAACATTATTTTTGTCCAGGAACTACAATCCCAAGGATGGCCGGAGGGGTAAACCCATAACCAAAGAGGAGGCCATGAAAGAACTAATTGAAGTCGTAAGTAAATATATGCATGGTGGCACACGTAAAAGCATTGTACTGGTACTGCCTTGGAATTATATGTTTTCTGCAGCATTATCTTATATTTGGTTGTAACCAGGTCACGAAGACAAAGCCAGACAACTTCACTCCTCGCATTGTAGATAAAACAGATGATTACATCCGAGTTGAATATGAGAGCCCTATATTTGGGGTAGGCGGGTAGCACCTTGTTGGTTTCCCTTTTTGTAAGCTAATGTAGGTTGTTAGATGTGCGCAAATCTCATGGCTATTTGATAGTTTCTTTTTATCATTTCTCCATGGTGCAGTTTGTAGATGATGTGGAGTTCTGGTTCCCTCCTGGCAACAAACCACTCGTTCAGTATAGGTCGGCGTCTCGATCAGGATTTATCGACTTCAGTGCCAATAAGAAGAGAGTAAAGGTATGTCTGCTTCTATCTGGTACCGTTTGTGTGATTTAGTTCTGTGGGTCGAATACATACCGGGTCCCTGCTAGTTGATGAGATGGTGCCTCGATGATATATACTCTCTGATTCATGTGATCAGGAGCTGAGATTGGCTTTGGAAAAGAAGGGCTGGGCTTCGGAAAGCAACTTTTGAATTGAAGGAAGAAGGATGGAAGAGGTGCAGGTGCATGCTACTCAGACTCAGTGCAGGTGCAGGCGTGCAGCCGCTCGCCTCGTCTGTCGTCTCATCGCATTCAGATTCAGACCAGAGACCATTTTAGAGTCTTTGGTTGCAGCAGCACAAGTGGAACTGTTATAGTATCCCCTTTGGTTACTGCCCACGCAAAGGCGAAAGTTTCTGTTTTTGTGATGGTCCTCAGCCCTCGTCCTCACTCAGGTCAGCGCTTGGTCCTGGAGCGACCTGCTCTGATTCCGTCGGGGTCACTGTTGACTTCTTTTTGCTTATTATTAGTCCACTAGTAGAATTGCACAGCAAACTCTTGCCTGATTTAGCGGCACAACTGGAACTGGGATAGTATGTTGCACTCCCTCCATCCCAAATTGTAAGTCATTCCAGGAATCTTGGAGAGTCCAAGTTTTTCAAGTTTGACCAAATTTATATAACAAAATAATAATATTTATCATACCAAGTAAGTATCATTAGATTCTTTATTAGTTATATTTTTATATTATACCTATTTGATGTCATTAATTTTTATGTTTCTCTCTATAATTTTAGTTAAACTTAAAAAAGTTTGACTCTCCAAGATTTTTGGAATGACTTACAATTTGAGATGGAGGGAGTAGAACGGAGGGAGCATTCGCTTGTCATCCACTTTCGTGCACTATTTTACGTATTCGTGTCATCAATATATGTTATGTTCTTTGAAATCTTAATTGATGCGCCGCTTGAGGTTCAAATCAAATCACCCTAATCAGCATAAACTTAGGGTTGATTCGGACCTCAGGTCGTCGAGCGACACAATTACATATATTACCTAGATTGTGAACATAATAGTACTAGGTTAAGGGATCGATGGTGTATTTTCCACTGAGTATGTACCAGTAGACAACAGGTGCACAGTGGTAGCTGCTGGATGGATTGATTCGGTGGGTGGGCATCTCCACCCATTGATATTGCATTCGCAGGGCAGGCCACCGCTGTGGTGGTGGTGGTGGCCATCATGCATCACGAGGAATTGAGGATGCATCATCATCATCCATGGGTGCCGGTGCCGGTGGCGCACTAAGGACGGAGGAGTACTCTTACATAGGAAATGGGTCAAAACCAAGAAATGGGTCAAAAGGGCTATATATTACATGGACAGCAACGACCTGGCTAGTCAAAACAAAGAAATCATATACTACTCACCAGGAGTATATATATTGCCATTTTGGCATGCATGCTATTGCTGCTACGGTTGACAAATACTCCTACATGCATGCATCGAATCGGATCGGATCGGATCTGTCCTTGTGTGATGATAATGATAAGATATGTATATTCGTTCGATATGATAATTGACCCAGCTGAGATTATTAGTCCCTCGCATCAGCTCTGGATGCATGGTTGTGGTTGACTTGACCCAGAGAGAGTTAGTTTCATCATGGATTATATTATATATAATAATATAGCACACACATATAACTAGATTATAATAAGGCAATATACGAACCTCCAGTAGTCGCTAATCGAGCCATCTCATCACACGCACTGTCACGGTACAGTTAGGTAACCGTACCCCTGATCTGATCGATGTCAATGCCGTGACTGAAAACGACGACAAGAAAAATCCCCGATGGATTCAGGTGCTTTCTTTCTATAGTACATTCTATCCTTTTCAGATATTGGATTGGAGGCACAGATAGATGACGGCAGGTGGAGTGGAGCTGGCCATGCATGTTGGCCATCCTCCAGGTCTTCTTCATCCATCCATACATGTGTGGTGTCGTCTCGTACCTACGTCTGGCCTTTTCCTTTTGGATTTGGACCTGGCTATGAAATGATGCGCTAGCTAGCTCGTCTCGTCATCGCCCGTCCCGCACCTTGCAAATAACCCTTCTCTCTCCATTTCCAAAAAAAAAAAAATCTACTCTCAACTCCACGACCATATCATAATGCAAAAGGCTAAAATCCTTTTCTCAAACTACCACAATAGTTATGTTCGCAAAAAAAAACACAATAGTTCAACTTTCTACAATAAACTATACTAAAAAAAACAGACACCGGACACTCCCTAACTATCCAAATCATCGGACAAAGCATAACCCCATCTACACAATAGCTTTGTCCTGGTTTTCATCCCACGTGGCGCTTGCATGGACGGTTTTGACACGTCAGCTAATAGTATCAAAATTGAAGGTTGAAAATTGATCTGAAGTTGAAATCTAAACTTGTCTAAACCGCCTATTAATCGCTGAAATCTAGTTGGAGGTTGAAAACTAAACTTGGTATAAATATAAATGGACTTAAAAATACATTAGGAAAAAAATATTTACATATAACAATATTCTGCCAAGCTAGCGTCCAGATTTCAAACTCTAACTATTATGAAAAGTTCAATTTTCAACCTCCAATTTTAAAATCAAGAGCTGACGTGGCAAAATCATCCTATGCGAAACAAACATTAGATGAAAACCACACTGCCATTATAATTGAGCGTTGAAAATGGACTATATACCCTAATATGGATGATTATCACAAATTCAAATCTTGGGATATTTAAGGTATACCTTCACCTATTCATGTGCCTAAAATTTCACAGACAACCACTCAATAGTGAACTGTAGCGGATTAGCAACGAAGCAATCAAGGCTTTGCGATTTTGGACTAAGGGATGGGGAGGTGTGGAGACTTTGTGCCCCTTGGTTTACAAGGGCAATTTTGGTTGGAGGCCAGCCCGCCGAAGCACCGAGGCATGAGTCGTGGAGGACTGTGTTCGAAGTTTTTTATGTGAACTCCGTGGAGATAAGGACTTGTTAAATCCCCCCCCCCCCAATTGCTATATATGGGCATGCATTCCAAGCTTGTTATCGACACTTGGTGCGGGTCTCTCTCTCCTAGCGCTTGGTGTTTCTCTCCTAGTGTCTGGTTTTCCTAACCTGGCACTCGGTTTTTAGTTTTTAGTAAGCAAGTATTGAAAAATATTAGAGAAAGACAAAAATAGAGAGCTCCTACTCTATTTCTTCGTTTTGAATGATTAACGATTTACCATGTGATTGTGTAGAAACCCTTGGTGGGCAGGTGAGTCAGAGTGGTCATTCTCGATGAATAGTTTCATAGCGTTGTTTCGAAGAATATAGAATGCAATGAAACATGGATGAAATAATCATTCTCAATGTATAGTTTCATTCTTTTTGTTTCATAGATATTTAATTCTATGACTCATTTAGAGTTGGAAACCGAGAGTTTCATCTGCACGAAACTCACATCTTTTCTCTCTTCTTAGAATCGTTGTTATGTCATCAAAAATGTTTACGTGATAGCCTATTAAATACATATAAAATCCGTAATGAAACTCCCATTGAAATTGGCCAACTCTCGTATAGCACAAGGAACACGAAGGGAGTATTGCCCGATTGGGGTTGCTTATAAACTTGATTCCAGTTATTGATAGGAAAAGTAAAAGTTGATTTTTCGGACAGTCTAACTAAATTGGAGTTTATTCCTCGATCATTAGTAACCGATGCTCGGGTTTAAGAAAAGGTTAAGAAAATATTTGCTTTTTTTTTCTTGATTGATTTGTACTTGTACAGGAGAAGGTGTCGACCCTGGACAGCACAAGGAGGGCGACGGTCCCATTCTCCACTTCACCCTCTAGCCGGTGGTAGCGACTGCTGCATCATCCTCATCCATTTATCACTGTCGCCACCTTCTGTCGTTCCTTGTACACATAAGTCTACAACTACAACTTTCTTCTTCTTCTTTTGAACTAAAACTACATCTTTTTTTTTCGCGGTCATATAATAAGAACAGTTTTGCTATATCTTTTTCCAAAGACCCTACAACTAGCTGAACCTTCATCTAATCATCTTCATCTCACCACCACCAGTAGGCAACAACCTTGAGAGAATTCATATATATTTCTAATTTAAGCATACAGATGTTTTCCAACCGTTTGCTTACTTTCTCCCACAAATAATCTTAATTTTTCTAGGAAACCAAAAACAATCTTAGAGGGTGTTTGGCACGGCTCCTCCTGAGGGGCTCCTCCAGAGGAGCCAGAGCCGTTTTGGTGTGGCTCCTCCAAAATGGCTCAGCTCCTCTGTTTTTTACTGAAAAACGACTCCATCAAGAAAACGTTTAGTAGAGCTCATCTGGAGAAGCCAGAGCCAGAGCCGGAGAGGAGCCCTGCCAAACAGGCCCTTAGTTTCTCTGCAGCTAATTGGTGTTTCACTAGAACTATAGTGCACTTGCATTATTACGTATGTGTATGTGATATGTCTCTCATTTCTATAGATGTCTAATTATTTATTTATCGTAAACACCCTCCATGCATCCCTAGTGTTTAGTAGTGTCTTACTAGCTCCTGCTAGCTACTAGCTCAAAGCTTAGCCCTTGTTTAGTTCGCGAAATTTGGATTTTTGGGATACTGTAGCACCATCGTTTTTATTTGACAAATAGTGTCCAAACATTGACTAATTAGACTTAAAACGTTTGTCTCGTAATTTCCCACCAAACTGTGCAATTAGTTTTTCTTTTCGTCTACATTTAATGCTCCATGCACGGCCGCAAACATTCGATGTGACAGATACTGTAGCAACTTTTTAAATTTTGAGTCCAACTAAACAAGGGCTTAATTAATTAGCAGTTGTGCGCTAGTCTAAAATCGTTGAAACTAGCTTTCTTCTCCTTGTCTAGGCCCGTTTGTTGGGGCTTCGGCTTCAGCTAAAATAGCTTCAGTTATGACTTCTTCTATATAGCAGATTTACTTTGAAAGCTGAAACTGTTTTTTTTTTACCGTTTGACAAAATAACTTCTCCTCTGAGTTAGAAAGGGTAAAATCTCTATAATACCCTTATTTATTTTCTTTTTCTTTTTCTTTCTCTTTTCTCTTTCCTTTTCTTTCTCTGTCTTATCTTCTCCAATCTCCACCGCACATTTTCTTTCTCTGCCTTATCTTCTCCACCGCACATTCTTCTCCATCAGATGGACGCCCTGCCCGCATGACCGCATGGCTGCAGCTTGACGCGACGACACCCCCGCGATCCGATGCCTCAACGCGACCACGACCCGATGGCCCGGCGGCTGGACACGGCGACGGCCGGCGGCCGCGAGACTCTCCCCGCGCTGCGCAGCCATGGCGTCCCTGCGCACGTGCCCTGCGCTCCAACGAGCGCGCCGCCTCCACCACTCTCCGCGCGACCGCGCCGTCGTCCCTCCCCACGTCGGCCTTGCCTTCCCACGGGGCAGACTTGACCATGGGCGTGATGGGGTCTACCAGATCGAGACGGAGCTGAGAGAAGCAGGTATTTTTGGTTCCTCTTCTCTCTCCTAGTTCGTCTCAGCGGAAATCGCGGAGCTTCTTCCCGGGAGCTGAACGGTGCGGAGGCGTTTGGTTGACGGAGCTGTAAAACGGCTCCTGAAGCCGTTCTTGGAGCCGTGCCAAACGGCCCCTCTCTCTCCCTCGTGGGGGCGGTGGTGGTGCTGCTGCTATTAGCTGCTTCTTGCTTCCATCCATACTACCACACTCATCATACTCAGTTACAAGATGCCCATGGCTCTCGAGTCATGGCTCAGCGAGGTCCGCTCAGCCATGTCCTCTGCCAGGTCGTCCTCTGGAGGTTCGGAGGCGCCACCGGCCGGGCCCAGGACGAAGCAGAGCACCGTCGGCATCCTCGCCTTCGAGGTCGCCAGCCTCATGTCCAAGCTCCTCCACCTGTGTCGGGCCGTCGGTGACGCCGCCGTCGCACGCCTCCGCCACGAGACCATCCACCTCCACGGCGTCCGCAAGGTAGTCTCCGACGACGACCACTTCCTGCTCGGCCTCGCCCGCGCCGAGCTCGTGGACACGCTCAGGGCCGCCGCCGACTCCGTGGCCGCGCTCGCCGATGAGCGGGACGAGCTGTACGGGATGCTGACGGCGAGCGTGCGCGCGCAGCTCCGGGCGCGTCTGCGCGGCGTGGTGCCCGCGGCGGACCCGGGTCTGGCGGGGCAGTGGCGCGCGGCGCTGGCTGGGATCCTGGAGTGGCTGGCGCCGATGGCGCACGCGACGTTGCGGTGGCAGGCGGAGCGCAGCCCGGAGCAGAGGGGCCCGGCGGCGGCACGGGGTGGGAGCGGCACCGGCAGCGTGCTGCTGCTGCAGACTCTGCAGTTCGCGGAGCGCGACAGGGTGGACGCGGCGGCGGTGGAGCTCCTGGTGGGGCTCAACTACGTGTGGCGGTTCGAGAAGGAGATGATGAGCTGCCGCACTCTGTTCGCCGTCCACCACCGGTAGCAGCTCCCGGCGGCGACGATGGAGCTGGCTGGCTAGCTGCTTTGTTTGTTTAGTTTTTGCATCCATCATGATGCATCCATGGATTTTGGTGTATAAGACGTATGTAGTACGAAAATGATCCATCATCTCAAATCTCCGATGTTGCATTGTACGTACTAGTATTGTCGTTGCTTGCTTTGCAAATTGCGCAAGGACAGGGGTGTGTGTATCAGTATCAGTCAGTCAGTGCATGAGTGTGGTATGGCAGCCGAAAGCAATTTGCACTCTGCATTGCGGCCTGGCGCCTAGCCCTGCACCACCACCACCATCATGATGATGGATTGCTAGTTTGACTTGCTTGTACCATCTTCTATACGCAAGCTGCAGGTGGTGTTGAGTGGTGGTGACACGAAGAATGATGCGGGCACACCATCTGCTTCAGGCCGTCAGGCTGATAAAGTTCAAGCGAACAGGGCGTATATACGCGCGAGGTACAGTAGAAAGTACGAAGCACTACGTGGTGTATGAAAAATGAGATGCATGCATCATATCTGTCTGCACCGGCTGTAAACTGTTGCTCATGCGCTCAACCACACCCTTTTAGCTTACTGTATCCTGCAATCTCACCGGCTTGCAACTCATCAACTGTCTGCTAAGCTAGTAATTTAATCCATCTGTCTGTGCTGTGCATATATATGTATATATGTGTGAATAAAAAATAATTGGCGAGTGATGGATCTGTTGAGGAATAAGCTAAGGCAGTAGCTTAGCTAGGGACACATGGGAGGGCGGCTTGGTTAGTTGACTCAATCATCATCATCTCAACGATTCCATCATCACATGCATTCCATCAGATGATGCATGCGGCCCTCAGATCCGATCCTCCTGCGAATGCCTGCCTGCTTCTTGCTCAGCAGCTACCTCTGCAATGCATGCATAATTTCGATGCAATATAATTCCTGGCCGTGTTCACACAGATTAATTGAGAGCGATCAATACTCTTATTGTTCATTCATTCTTGAGTACCAGCCAAACCTGCAGCTAGCTGGCTCTTTCAACAACTACATGCATGCCATTCATCATCTCAATCATCTCATCGGAATTCACAACTTAATTGTTTCCATCAGAATCTTTCTATTATACTACGTACTATCAAACTGCACTGCAGGTAATCCCATCTCTCTCTATCTCCCCTCTCTGAAACTCTGAATATTCTGAATGTGTGTGTGTGTGTGTGTGTGTATATTCAGAAATGCACATGTGTTGCATCGTATCTATATATTCAGACCTCAACAGTCAACAGGAACCTTTTCCTCTTCACGCCATGTGTCACTGAAAACGCTACCTTATCTTACTAAAAGTGAATCATTATATCCAGGCACACGCATACATATATATATAGATATAGAGAGAAAGAGAAAGCTCACCTCTTTCAAGAGAAAAAAAAACTTTGTTATGAAGAAAATTAAAAGAAAACGATCGATGCATGCTGCTTTAATCATATTCATGATAAGGAGCAAACAAGCATGGCATCGGTGGTTACCCTTACGGTACCCCTCAACATCACTAATAAGACTCCCTAACCCGTACGTACGTGTGTCCCCCTACAGCTACAGACAAATATATACACCATCTTCTTGCTTGGACCACTACTTGTATATACAGAGAGCATATATGTACGGATGTTAATAACTAGCTATTGAGCAAAACCATCCATCACCGAGAATATGACAGCTAAGATCAGCCATATAAATAGTTTGCTTATTGATTTGGACTTCACTCGCACTAGCTCTGTAAATGGAACACAACCAAAATACAGGTGGTTAGCTCATACTCCTACTATATACTAGCAGGTCCCAACAGTATATATAGAGGACATGAAAATTGAACCGGTGTATATATAATAATTGTATCTTATATTGTTTTGCATTATCACAATTGTTCAGCACCAAATTAACTGTCCCTCTCTATACCAGATTGAAATTGTGATTCGATCTAAAAATGTATTAATAAAGAAAAGCTCTGCAACAAGTAGCAATAGATCAAAAACAAAATGCAACCGGTCGTGATTGGTCAGAGGAACCTTTGACTTGAAAACACTCAACACATCATGAGCTCGGAGGGACCTCCAAATAAATTCCAAAAGCAAGCTAGTCTACTTCTTTCTCAAAAGAGAGGCCTATATATATAGAGAGTAGATTTGGATTTTTGTTTTGGCAAAAGATTTGAATCCGCTTGTTGGAGTGCTTTTTAATTTATCTTTTGTGAAAAAAGGAAACACATGAGACATAACAAAGTCTAGGACGATACGTTATTCTACTTAGATCTACTACTAGGCCATACCTGAATGTAAAGAGCTAAAGAGACGCCTGATACAAATAAAAATTAAAAAAAAATTGATGTAACCAAGTAAAGCTAGTAACGAGATGCATATATGAATAATAATCAATTAATATGTAGCTCAGCCTCAATTAATGGCTGAGCTGATGGAGCACCGAGCAACGTTATTTTCAAGCAGCAGGCCGGGTTAGCTGCTAGAATAGCTAGCTAATATGAAAGGTTGGCAGCATCAGATGTGGAAGGGGCAGATGACTGTGCATGACAATAACATGACCACAAACATGTTGGTTCCAAATGTTCCTATATATCCAGCACCAGCCGCTAGTAAATCAGTGTACCAAGTACTGATCGATCGTATATATAGGTTTTCTGAAGGGGAAAAGAAATTTAAAAAAAAAAGATCTACTAGGTCAAATGTATGATTTCTCAGAACTTTCCCCGCCGCTGTGTTAATTAATTTACTGTAAACAAACAAAAAGAAAGAAACAACTTGTGCTCGGAGCTTCATTTTAATTAATCTGTCAAGGACAAGTGAACACATATCAGAGAGGACACTATCAGTATTAGCTGCTAGTTATTTCGTAGATACGCTAGACAAAGAATGAATGATGTACTCATCACGTACGTGCACATTTCTTGCTTTGGCACTTCATACTAAAATATAGTGTAGCATATGGCGTTCGCTTTATTGGACACACTCAAAACATTCCATGTATCTACCAGAGCATTGTGCCATTGTTTACCATACAATATGGGGTTAAACTAAATCTGTGTGCTTACATACCCATACGATGGTGCTTATAGGATAATAAATTAATCAAACTTCGCATACTTTATCATGTAATGCAATGTAATTCCTGTTCAATGGAATGTCAAACAATGCGCAAAGCAGCGCATTTGCAGCCAGATTCATCCACACATGGGGATGCAACCATCGACTGGAGGACAGTTCACAGGCAAAATTTCACTAGTCTTGTCCACTCCACCCCAGCAGAAATGGTCATCACATCATAGGACAAACATTACAAAACCATTGGATCGAAGCAGCAACAGCACAAATTATTTGGATCTCACAGCCAGATCAGATCATTCCCAGTAAAAGGAAAGAAAGAAAAATGCAGACAACATTCAGTTTATTTATTGTATAAAGAGTTGGCAGACTATAGCAAAACTACAACCCCAAGGCTGGTGCCTGCCTGTTGCATTGGGGCGTGCTCGCCATGTTCCACCCTCGTCAGTAACAAGCCTCCCTCAGTACTATCCCTCAAAACTCAATGGAACAAAACTATGACTCAGTTCAGTACGATATCAACAGAGGAGCACCAAGCAATGCCTTCCCTGTTTTGGGCTAGTTAGCTTGCATCCTTCTTTTGTTTCCCCTTTCTTCCATTATGTGCCCTTTGGCAAAGCTGTCTTATGCGGTTAGGGGATGGCCCCAGGATTCAGTCCTTGTCCGATCATGTTGAACCCACCTCTGGAGCTGACCAAAGTTTCACCTTTTTGTCCACACCAGCAGTCCCCAAAATAAACACAGGCATGCCACCTAAAGAAAACAACAGCAGCGTGGTTAAGACATCATAAAACGCATGATCCCTCAGAAGAATGGTATTCTTCCAAATAAAGGATACATGATATTAAAGTTCCATCAACTCCAAATAGAAAATTCATTAGCTACTTATCGGTACAACAGAACCACCATGAGTACAATTAGTATGGCGTACTTTGCAGTCAAGTCATCCAGGACAAACCAAACATCATTTTTTGTTAAATCAAGTGCTAGCCTAAATAAATGTGTTTACAAAATGTTGCGTTAAAAGTTAATGCAGGCTGCAAAGGTTCAGATCATTGGTAGTTTCTAACAATGACTGTAAGTCTGTAATAGACATTTCGTTTGACAGGATTTGCAGAGATCTCCTTACCATTGGGAATTTTGTGTGGAGCCCAAGCAATGCCAGTTATATCACCTGAGTACATGTCAACAGCATGTCATTCAAAGCTAGAAATCAGTATGCCCATGCAATCTGTCATACACTATCAACATCAAACATCAGGGTCAATCAAAAAGCAGGCTAAAACACTTCAGAGCCAGGAAGGGTGCTAGTAGGAGGGACTGGCAGGGGCCATGGCCCCATCGTGCTCCAAATTTGTTTCAATTGGAGCCCTTTAAGATTAAGAAGAAATTTAGTGCATATACTATACTAGTATTTGGTTGTTTATATCACGGGAAGTCTTCTAATCGTAGCTCCATCATTGTGCAGAGGAAATAAGATGGATATAGTCTAGACATGTATAGTCAGCAAGTTTAGGTTTCAATCTCAACATCTCATAGCCATGTTCCATAGGACTACGTCTAGGCTGCAGGGCTCAGAAATATACTGACTTGTACAGTTGGGTGTACTGGACATAGCCACAGGAAAAGGGATTTCTCGTCCCCAGAACGTGGGAACATTCTCACTCCCGACTTGTAAAAAACTTTTATTAGGATATGTATATATCTACATCAATTAGCGATTGATTGGTGTTTCCCTAGATAGGCTAGCTGCCATGTATAGCCTAGGATAGTTTCCTTGTACAGGAAATAGCTTCCCATGTATGTAACTTCCATGTATGCCTATTGGCTATATATATGAAAGGCTCCCCACCCACATTGGGGTGAGTGGTGATTCTCTACCTTCTACATG